GAGCATTTCTCATTAAATCAAACAACAACCATCGATTTCTGCATCGTGTACTCGTCGTGAGGCACAGAACTGTGATGGTATGTTTATGATGACATTTGAGTTTCTTCTATGCCAAATTTGTGATGTTCCATCTGAAATCTTTAATAAACAATTGTCCTCGACCACCAACGCCTTCTGAAATTATATTACTTTGAACACTACTTTAAGGGTGATTTATTCACTCTTTCAGGGCGGAGCAGTGCGAGTCACGTGCATGGCAACAAACTAAAGCACTCTGTAGAGCTTCATGCAAGCTCCAACCTCGCTTGTCCCATAGAATACTGTTGCATTTCAATGGTTTTTTGGTGAAACTACAGATGTCATAAACATTTTGATGAAGGAAGTTATGGTATGATGGGAACTAGCCGTTTAAATTGAGGAAACATGCAACTGGTTTGGAGTACAGGTGCGTACCTTAAAACAACTGAACTAAATCATTGGACCACAACTGATTTATAGATGAATAATCTTTTTGCAACTGTGTTGTAAGGCATGATGTCTTAGACTTGGTGCTAAAACCGTTTCATGGAACGATTTCCTATTGTTGATTTTATACTGAAATTATCAACACAAAACACAGTACCGATGTAAACAATTCTCCGTGACGTCACAGTGTCATCATTTAAGCCACTGTACGCAAATAGTCGGCACGCGATGTTCAAGCATCACAGATTCAGCCATTACTTGTGACATATCGGAGTTCAATTGGTCTCACAATCACTTGATTCATAATAAAGACAGTAACTGATCATCGACATCTTTTCAAAAATTAATTCAAAACACAATATAAAAGCCAGTGGATCCTGGCTCATTAAAAGTCTGAGAAAATGAAATCAATCATCATAAAATTGCTGCTTATTACTTTCTGTATCAGCGATATCGTCGGTCAGTAACGTAGTTTCTATCCAATATGCTTTCGACCATCAGCTGAGAATTGTAAAGAGGTTACGGTCAATTCGGATGCAAAGAGCTTCGTTGTAAAAAGCAATGGCATTGGCTGCCAATACCGTGTCCAATCGGATACGGTAAAGCGGTGAAGATCTTTGACAACGTAAGTGACCAGGAACGCTTAAATATACAGATGCAACACTGAAGACCGGAACATCCTCACCATCACTCGGCCCTTGGTATCCCAGCAAATAAAAGGTAACTTGCCTCTTCAGTCGAAAGCCTACGTTTTATATCTTTTCACGTGCACGTGTAGCGGGCGATTCATTGGACATACGACGAGGCGATTATCAAA